GGGTGCTTAAGTTATAAGAACACAAAACCTCAAATCACTTATGTCTATAATCCAGTTGCTTATGGCTCTCTGTTCTTAGGGGTTAACAAAACTTACTTTTGTATTTCGTCAATCTTGTTTCTGATTTTTTCACCTTCAGCTTCTGCGTTAATGGTTTCTTCATCAACTTTGAGATAAACCTTGAGGTTCTGATTCACTGACTCAAAGATAGATCCAGCTATGTCTGCTTGGTCTGCTCCTTTTAACACAACCTATTTGTACAAAGTTCCACAAAAATTTTGAGAAAAAACAAACAAAAGACAGAACAGAGAGAAAATCAAGATCAAGTTCTCAAGTCACCTCTGAGGATGAGAGATTTGCGAGGGTCTTGATCTCTAACTCATGAGACTGTATAATCCCTAATGTTAACTCATTTTCACACAAAGCAAACGCATGTAACCTGCGAAAAAAGAAAGGTTATACAAAGAAAAATGAAGACAATGAAGACAAGGATGTGTATCGATAAAGGGGACTTGGGAAGCGGTTGTGTTTGTCGAACTGCATGTTCCACTAGTTTAGTACCTAATTGGTTACCTTTTGCATTGCTGAACTTGCAATAACTTCTTTTTCACTTATGTTAGAATTTGTATTCTTGCGCAAAGCAAATGGTAAATTGTTTATAAATATGGGAGTGAAATAACATATTGAAATATAATCAAAATCATGGACAAGTTTTAGATATTTCCCGCTATGCATATCTTTGAACTCTAATTCTTAATTTGCATTGTTTTAGGAAAATACATGTGTGGTTGAAATTGTACAAAAATGAAAAATATGGTATAAATCTTATAGACAACACTTTTCCAAGAAAAAAAATGAAAATCGTAGAGATGGTGGATGCATTAGTCTTCAAACATAGAACCAGTTGATGCACTACTCTTCTTCTGCATATAGGCAAAGATTCTTAATGCAGGATTACGAAAATGCTATGGGAACCTATAAAGAAGGTCTCAAACATGATCCAACCAATAAAGGATTTTAAGTAGTGTGTTAGAAGGTAAATGCCTATCATGTCTTGCATTGTCTTAGGATGGATTGTCTATTGATCTTCTGCTATATGCAGATGTCTTACCGAAATAAAAAAGATAACTCTTCAAACTCGATCCTGCTTATCCTTCTCGCACTTTTCCTTCGCTCTTTCTACTCCTAATAGTTTATCATGCGCATTATCAATACATTGCATTGCAGTCTCTCTCTTTTTCATTTATCGTTTCAACTTAGCTTCAGGAACTTTGGCCACAAAGAACAAGCTTGAAAAGAAAAAACTTATATCAGGGTCGTATCTTCTTAACAACCGTCGTCTCAAAATGTGACGATCATGAAATAAAAGCAAAACACCCAGAATCTTAATAAATTTTAGGGTCAGAATAAATAGAGTTGCCGTCAAATTTAATAAAAAATTGGCCAAATGTATATTCAAAGTATTAACGTTAGAAAAATATTCTGGGCTAAAGGCCCAATATAACGGCAATCGTCACCGTTCGATTACATTAAGATCTCAGTCCATCAAAAACGCTAGAAAAGACAAAAATCAAAATTGATCTATTTTTACAAAATATGAAAGCTATAAATATGTCGATAAGCTAAAAAATATACTAAGGGTCTAAATGGTAACAGTGGAAAATAGCTGAATGTTGTTGAATTGCAGAATTTGACTGAATTTTTGGTGATTTATTGCGGAATCTAACGGAATAATTTAAAATGTAAATGGTAACTGCTGAATCTAGATGAACCTAGCTGAATTTTTAAAATAAATTATTGATTAAATAAGCCTACAAAAATTAGTTAATGAAGTTTGTTGTTCTTTCTTAGTTGAATAAAC